ATTTCTCTGTCCGCGACATTCTCCTCTCTCTCTCTCCCTCTCTCCCTCCCTCTCTCTCTCTCTCTATCTATCTCTATCTCTCTATTTCTCTCCATCTCGCACTCATGTCTTTCTCTAGTTCTCAGCTTCTTTTTCTTTCTTTTTTCCTCTCCTTGTATCTACCTTCCTCGCTCCATCTCCTTACGTTTTTAATTTCTTTTCTCTCCTTCTCAATTTATACCGTTTTCGATTTCAACATCACTTGGCAGGTTCGCCCGCGGTATCAGCAACTTTATACCATTTGTGTAACAACCTTTAACCACCAGTAACAATCTTTATTAACAACCAATAAAAACCTTTCCCTCTCTCTACCTTTCTTTGCTTATTTCTTTAATTTTCTTCGAATACATCAGCCGATGACAACATTAACTCTAACTCTTTCTCTCTCCTCGCGTCATTTTCACTCTCCTGTCTCTCAAGCGACGGCGATGGTGCAACGGTTAGCCTTTCGTATCCCGACGGTGGCAAGTTTTTCGACACTAGCTTGTCAGCTAGGTCGAATTCAGTCGCTGTCTGGAGGAGAATTCAAACAGCCGGCTGCTCTGATCGGTAGTTTTCCGTGGTTTCTCCGATCAACACGAGACGAATGCCGGAGCAGTTCCCTAACAAACTAAATGATAAGCTACATAGATATATAGATCAGAGCGAAATGTAACGTGCCCTGAATCACTATACAATCAATCAATCTAACTTTTTATTCCAGCTTCGAACCCCCCCATCGCAACACTCTCTTCCTATGTCACCCCAGTCACCGATGATGGTTGACACTTCTCCGCAGCCCACCTCAACACCTGGCACTCCAGTCGAAGATGTGAGTATACTTCCAGACTGAGAAATACCTGTACAGAGAGGCGAGCAATTTATCTCGGAAGGGAGAGGTTGCGTTAGCGGATTGAACAGGCCCCATCTCTCGTAGGAAAAGTTTATGTCGCTCCGGGCCACGGCCAGCACAGAGGGGTAGAGGGTCGGTGCGGGTCAAGAGAGGAAGCGGATTTTGACAGAAGACATGAACTTATCATGATTAACCTTGCACATTATGATAAATAAAGATATCTGGTATCAATACTTTTTTATTAAGCTTATGATCGTTTCGATCGCATAGCGATCATCCTCAGAGCTTGCATCGTCGGGGCCGGAAACAAAGTTCTACTTTGAAGAACTTACTACTTTTCGGCCCCGGAACTGCAAGCTCTGAGGATGATCGCAATGCGATCGAAACGATCATAAGCTGAATAAATATTATTGATACCAAACAACATCTTTATTTATCATAATAATAGAAGGAATCTACCTCACCAGCGATCTAATTAATAAACTTGCACATATTTATTTATTAAATTATGAACGCAAAGTCTATATAGAGTATACACGACTAATACTCAAAAGTGCATAAATGCACTGCGGCCGGGGGGAGAGCTCCCGCAGGCAGCCGTACCTCGTCATTAATAACTGTAATAAGCTAATGACTGAACTTCTCAAAGACAGCAGAACTGCTGCGAGCAGCGCAGTGACTCGTACGTATCGAGAAGAATGAATGCGGCGGCGGTGGTGTAACGGTTAGCGTACTGGACTGTTGTACCCAAGTTAGCGG